GTTTAATAATTATTAGATTAACCTATCAATCAAGTTCTTTCTTTTTTATTTTCAATTGGATAGTAATGAAGTTTTTTTTAAAATCTTAATAAACTACTCGAAAACAGGCGATTTTCAACGGAATTTTTCCCTCGGAAACATCCTGTTTTATGTCGGAAACTATTATCGTAAAAGTATTTGTCGGAAAAACGACCTTTTTCGACGAAAATTTTATCGGAAACACTTTTTCGACGAAATTCTGGCATTTGAAGAGATTTTCCAGCCCAAAAATTCTGCCGGAAATTGTCGGCAGACACAATTCCGCCGAAAATTACCGATGGAAATTCCGTCGGAAAATTCTTTCAGAAAATTATAAAAAAAAAAAAAAAAACGGCCCATACCATCCCTACTAGCCCACCTAACTCTTACCACCACCCCCATTAGACGCCCAACACCACCCACAACCCGACCACCAAAACCTAACCCGTAAACACACTAACCCCTACTAGCCCACCTAACCCGTAAACACACTAACCCACCTCACCACCCACCAAAATCCGTAAACTACCTCACCACCCACCAAAACCCGTAAACTACCTCACCACCCACCAAAACTCGTAACCCACCTCACTACCCACCAAAACCCCAACCCAAACTAGATTCCCACCCACCACGACCCCCATCCCCACCTAAACCACCATCCCCACCCACCAAAACCCCCACCCAAACTAGATCCACCTAAAACAACTAGCCTAGCTACTCCCACCCAACCCTTACCCTGAACACAAACCACCCACCACCACCACAATTCAACCACACATCACAATAAAATTTTTTTAAAAAAAATCTCAAAAAACAAAATAAAAGAAAGAAAAAAGAGAACTTACCTTGAATTCCACCAAACCCCAAAATTGGCTTGAATTTGGGTTTTAAAGGTCAAATTCGACCATGAAAACTCTAGATCTAGAGTAATCTAGAGTTTTCATGGTCGAATTTGACATGAAAAACATGTAACTTTATTTTTTAAAATTAAAACCCTAGAATTCCATGGTCGAATGTCACAAACAATACCGAATTTGGAGAAAGAAAGAACAAAGAGAAAGAGAAAGAAGAGAGGAGAAAGGAAGAGAGGCGTGAGAATTGAAAGGAGACAGGAAAAGAGAAAAGAAGAGAAGAGGAGTGGTGGTAAGAAAGGGAAGATGAGAAAGAGATCGAAGAAGAAAAGTGAGGAGAATAGGAGAGAAAAGGAGAACGAGAGAGATGGAAGAGGAGAGAGAATGTCGGATGAGAGAGAGTTGGAAAGAAAGAGAAAAGGAGAAGGGGAAAGAGAAATAGAAGAGGGAAAGAGAAGGAGAAGTGGCGGAATAAGGGGGCTGTGTTTTAGGGTATTATTTCATTTTTTTTAAGAAAAATTATATTCCATCGGAAATTCCCGACGGAATTTAAATCCGTCGGAAAGTACATATATTCCGACGAATGTAAATTCCATCGGAAATTTCCAACGAATTCCGACGGAATTGTTGAATTCGTCGGAATATATGTACTTTCCGAAGGAATAAAAATCCTTAGTAAATTTCAATTTTTCCAACAGAATAACGTGTCCATCGGAACTAGTTTGCCGGAAATAGGTTGTTTTTTTGTAGTGATATATGTGATAATGAGTTGTATACATTTATGTTGTTGTGTTATAATCATTAATAAGGAGCGAGGGAGACTTCTTAGTGCATTGGCGCAAGAGGTTGCCTCGCATCCTCGAGGTGCGAGGTTCGATCCTCACCAGCAACAAATCCCACCCCCTACCCCATTAGAGCATTGCAATCTAGGTTTCCTATGATAGGAGCCTTCGGCTAAAGCCCGGTTGGCCTCTCTTATTCTCTTCTCTCCTCCTCTCTTCTAGGGTTTCTTTAAATTCTTGGCTGTCTAGGCCGAAAATAGTCTAATTTTTGAAGAAATTAGACTATTTCCAACCCTTTTCCCTTTAATTTCTTTAGTTTTGCAATTTAGTTTTCAATAAATCTACATGAGTAGTGTAGATATTCGTCCGTCTCCCTAAGGCGGAGTGTCTCCCTATAGCGAAGTCGTTAGTTTTTGTTAGTTTTGTTGTTTGTTTTTGTTTAGGGTTTTTTTGTGTGTTAGGGTTTATTAAAAAGGTAATCATCTTTTGCCCTATTATCAATTTGTTGATAAAGAGTTGTCCGTAATTGCAACGATTGTCAAATCTTCAAAGGTGTTCAAGTGAATCAAATGAAAATCATCCTTACGGCAACAACAAATCATTAGGCCGTCTCTTCGAAAAGGCTGTATATTCCAGTGATGTGTGTGAGAGATATACCACAATGCAATATCTATTCAACAATCATAGCTTTGATGAAGGAAACCCTTATTTGATTCATTTTTATGTATTTGTTGATTTAGATTCCATTTGTAGATGGCGTATGGCTTTTGATTAATGAATTGATTGATTGGTAAGTAATACTCTCTCTGTTTTAAATAAGGGTCTTAATTTGACGGACACACATGGCAATACAAGACTTTGACCAACTATGTCATTAATTATCAATATATACTCCATCCGTAATTTATTACTTGATCCATTTTTCCATGCGCGGAGTTTAAGGAGGAACAGTATAAAGTAATAAAATATGATGGAAGAATAAAAGAATCTATATATAAAATAAAAAGTGATCAGTATAAGTGGAGAGAAGAGAGAATATAAAAAAATGATATGCGGGAATCACTAGTGGAAATTAGTAAAATATAATTAAAAATTTCCAAAAAAGAAAATAGTGCAAGTAATAAAATACGGCCGCAAATAGAAAGTGGAGCAAGTAGTAAAATGTGGAGGGAGTATATATATATATATATATATATATATATATATATATATATATATATATATATATATATATATATATATATATATATATATATATATATATATATATATATTAGACTTCCTCCTTTCTCCATATATTGCAACAATTATCATTTTAGAAGGTTTCGCAAATATTACAACATTTCCCTATTCCCTATTTGTACATTCTCTCTCTCTCTCTCTCTCTCTCTCCTTATCATATGGGTCCATACCTTTATTCTCTCTATCTCTCTCGTTCTCTTAAAATCCGTGTCCAACCTCCATGTTGTAATATTAAGGGATAGAACGAAGTATGTATTTATCATGTTTAATTATGAAACGCCAACGTTGATCAAAGTGGTGATTGTATGTGAGTAGTGCAATAGTAATATTTGGGCACTTGAAAAGAAATGAAGTTGTCGGATAGGACTCTAGGACTATTTATCTTTACTAAGGTATTATTTGGTTGACGAGCGAATTCATTTCCCATAGGCGATTGCATTTCATTGGAAGTAAATCCCTATATTCAATTTCCTAGAAATTGCATAAATTTGTTTGGTTGTTAAAAAGGAATTTGCAAATCATGAAAAATTTGAGTTCCCATGCGGACTTGGTAATTTAATTCCTACAGTTTGTAGGTATTAGAAATTTCCTTGAATTTGCAATTCCTACATACTCTCTCTGTGTTTAAATAAATGAAATGTTTTTCTTTTTCGACTGTGTTTAAATAAATGAAAGTTTCATTTTTAAGTGACTTCTCTCTATTTTTTTAATAATATTCTCTGTATTTTTTTAATAATATTGTACTAACACTTATATGGTTCCCACAAAATCCTTTCTTCTCTCTCCTCAAACTTATACATCACTACCTATTATTTTAATAAATTCAACTTACCTTCTTAAAACTCCGTGAAAGTCAAAAGTTTCATTTATTTAAACACGGAGGGAGTATGTTAGATTTTATAGTCAACCAAATTAAATTACTCTCCCATTTTTAAATTTCCATGAATTTTCAATTTTTGTATTTGTTTTGTTCAACCAAATAAGGCCTAAAAATATGCAAAAATGACACTGGGCCCAAATTGGCCCAAGGCACAATAACAAGGGTATTACACAACTACACAAGGAAACCAAAACTAGACAAGACTTGTGTTAAAGCTGTGCATCATGTGGTTAATTTTTTTGTTAAAGAAGCACATCATGACACAATACAGTACAAAACATAAGGAAAATTAATATTAAGATGACAAAAGCACAAAAATTAAGTTAAGTAGCCACAACATGACCATCATGCAGCCATATTGGGATTTTAGCCAGAAAAAAAATATCATGGACCGAGTTTTACCAACTTATTGACATAACATTAAACACGACTCAATACGATCCAATGCCATCTTTATACATAATAATATTAATTCAATTTAATTTCGAAGACTCATAACACACCCATTTTTAGAAAGACCGACAAAATTTGTATCTTTCTCAAATTCAAAAACTAAGATTATACATAATTAGCAAATAATTTACGTTCAAAACAATTTCTAGATAAGATCCAAAACTCAAAAATAAGTGACAAATGAGTAACCATAACAACAACAATAATAATAAAATAAACTTAAATTCAATCAGTTGCGCAACGCATGATGACAAAACAAACAAAGATGAGTCATACAGCCGCATAGTTTTCATTTTCAACACTCTTGTCCATTCACAATTCGACACCTGTAATCCCTTTCTTCTTCAACGTGTCAATCCCGTAAAACCCTATTACACTTTCTCTTTCTATCTCTGAAACCAACCAACTTCAATTCTGCGGCACTTACTCACTTCACTCTCATGAACTTACTCTAATTTCTTCATCTTCTTAAAAAATCCAATCTTTTTTATTATTTTCCAGTAAAAATCCTTCCTTTTTTAATTTATTTTATTTTTAATTTGAAATAAGACAGAAATGAAATAAAAACCAAGGTTGTTGTATCCGAGTTGGACATCCACCTCACTCACACCTTCTTTCTTAATTCTTGCCCGCCTACTTTCTCTCTCTCAGGTACTTCCCTTTCTCTCTCCTCTCTTTTTTTAATTAATGGGATTTCTCTTAATTTTTCTTTTGATTTTCCCTTTAATTCTTGTTAATTGTTTTTATATTTTGTGATTATTTTATGTTTTTTTTGAGAAATATCTAATTTTTGTTGGTAATCTAATAAATCCCTTTTGAGAAATTTCAATTTTTTGTGAAATTGAAGGTTGAGATAGAGAACTTTAATTGTTGGGTTTGTTGAATTTGTGGTTGTTTGGTGTAAAGTCGTAAGAGAGAGTCACAAAGGGTAAATGATGTATTCGGGATTTGATCCGGGTTTTGAAGGGGTTGAATTATGTCTGGGTTTACTGGGTTGAGTAAAAAGAAAGAAAAATGGAGAAAAAAAAAAGGATAGTATAGTATATGAGGAATTAAGAAGCTCGCAATTTTAGGTATATAAGGATTTTTTAGAGTTTACATGGTAAAATTCCCATATTTCTGTTTAGATATATATTTGCAACCATTATTTCAGTATTTGGGCTTCTAACTGAATTTATCCTCTAAAATAAGTAAAGTTTTCCATATTTCAGCTGTAATTAGATCTAAGCTAATCTTCTTTTAAGTGGATTAATTTAGGACCTTTACCTTTTCTCTCTATTGAGGGTTTTGTGTTTGGATGAAAGGGAGGATATTTGCTTTGTACGGTTAGTTTTGTGAGGGAATTTGAAGGTAAATTTGGTTTACATATTGCTATTTCATTCATCATCAATCACATGTAAGTTTGCTGTTTTGTTATAAGAATATATGATCTCTTACTTGTTTCGTTTGTCGGCCGTTGTGCCTTGTCATAGGATAGATAGGGTTTAGTTTGAAGATTTGGTGATGATAAGTTCTAACGTATTGGAGTGTTGTAGTGGTCCTAGAGGATAATAGCTAGTTTAGTGGGGGTGATGCTATCTACATCATTGCTCTTCGTAGTTCTCTCTATACACCAAAAATGATAATTTTCAGTGTTGAATCTAATGGTGATTGTGAACTAAAAGTTATTTCGTTGAAGTCTTAATGACTGTTATTAGCCGGGAGTTGTGGGGGTGGGTTGTTACATCTTGATTTCATCCTGTAAAAAATAATAGGTTTAAGTATTTGCTTCTTAATATTAAAGCTTCTCTTAATGACTTTTTATCTTCGCTCCCTTTCTTTGTCCGTATCTCAATTAAAAATGCAGTGTATTGGATCGCTTTTTAAATTTATTTTTGCCCTCCCTTTTTTTTAAAAGTTCCTCTACTGCTTGTACTAGATCGTAAAGGATGGAGGAGGAAGATTTTTGTGGATGACTATGCGAAATAATCACATTTGGTTCATGTAGCCGATCCCACTTATGGGATTAAGGCTTTGATTGATTGATTGATTGCTTTTATATTTTAGTTATTGGGGTATTTAGGTTTTCTAATGTCCCAATGTTTGAGACTGATTATATCATTTATCTGTTCCTCATAGCATGATGAACTTTTACTATGATTTTGTATTTAAATTTTTTTAAGGGTTGGGGGGGGGGGTGTTGTCAGTTGTGCACTTCTTCTTTTCTAAGTTAAGGGGTTGCCCTTGGATGCCCACATTCCCATATAGAACATGAAGGTTTGACTAATCGACATTGAAGGCTTGTTAACTAATCCTTATGAGATTGATTTGAGGTCTTCAGCTTGCGCTGGCCTATTAAAAGGCAACCTTGTTTTTATCTGTGTAGATAGAATTCCTTATTTGTGTATATCCCGTAGGACGCACTTCTGTCTTCAGACTGGGGGATAACCTTAACTGTCCACGAATAGCTCTGAATATAGGTATGTGATACATCTGTAGTTAACTTGTACTGGAGATAGTAAAAATCCCACCGTTACAATTGATCCCATTGGTGGGATTCCAGGTGAAGCATTGGCACTTAGCCCTCTTACAATTGATCCCATTGGTGGGATTCCAGGTGAAGCATTGGCACTTAGCCCTTGCTCACAGGAACAACAATAGCTTTAATTCTAGTCTCCCCAGTTGACTGGCCTAACAAGTAACAAAAGATTTTCCCAAAAGGGTGATTGAATGGTGAATATAGTCTATCTGCCGGATTTCGTTGTTTTAATCTCTTTGATAATCCCTATCTATTGAGTATCAATAATTCTTGATCCTACAGCTTAAATGAGGATATTGGTGGCATCTTAAAAAAACTTGGTCTCCAAATCATACATTATCCAATCTTTCTTTCGAAAGGGATATTCGACAAAGACACACACCCATCTCTACCTCATTAGTATGAGGTTCCAAATAACTAGTTTTCTAACTAGATTAAAAACTCATATATCTAAATAATTGCCAACAAATTTTTTTAGTAAATTTCTAAGAACCACCTACTTCAGTGAGACACTTGTGAATCTAAAGATTGGACTACCTAAGCCAAGCTACCGCCCTTAGAAAGGAGTGCCTTAAATGTACTAATAGCTATCTAAGCCAAGCCGAATACCTATACAGCTGTGAATAAAACCTTTTGCTAGCAAAATCTTGTAATTTATTCTCCAACCACAAGTATTAGAGCAACTAACCAAAATATGGTAAGTATGTTGAGGGCAAAATAGTTAGGAGTCAAGAACAAGTCTTTTAATATGGCATTTCAGTGGGCCTAGGTGGAAATTTTTATACAACCAAGCTAACCCAATGCTTAGATATAAACCATCTAGGATACATAAGAATCCCAGACTGCAATAGGATCCTTATGATTGTAGTTTCACTTGCCGGGTTATCATATCTACCCTAACTAATTTCCATGCCAAAGAAGTGTTAGCCCAACCAAAAAGATGAGCTAGTAATACATGCATCAATAATTATGAAGAAAAAATCCGTGTTCATTCGTGCTATTTGATGGAAACTACAATCCCTTGTCTAAATATATTTTTAAGCGCACGATATATTGGAGAAAATAAGGCTCAATCCTTGAAAGCTTTTAGATAAAGGTTCTAAAAAGAAGATTGACTAGGGAAAGAGGCAAGTGGTGCTATCAATAAAGGTCGTAATTATAATTTGAAGCCATTGAAGAACTGATCTGGTGGTCTATTGGTCTGAAAGATCGTCTTTTCCCACTCAGTTGTACTTATATTTTTAAGCTTCTTGCACCTTTCACTTTTATCTTTTCCTGCCATTTTCACCCCATAGTTTCCTTTGCTTGGCTACATGTAAGTTATATCATCATCGATTCCTTGATGTAAGTTTTCCCTCTTTATTGATAGTTTTTTCTTGGATTAACAACTGACGTGATTCTTTGACTGGGTTAGTGTGGGCTAGATCACTCCTGCTTGGATGCTACTTAACTTTCTTTTACTTGGGCCCTGATCCTAATTGCTCATTTGGGAGTTGGGACTAGATGACATGTTGTAGAATGACAAGCCCACTTTAAACTGATGACTGAATTAACTGATACGAATATTATAGTTTCAAACACCATTTCATCACTTGTAGCAATGTTAAGACTGAAAAAAGGCGTAGTTTTCATATATTATTTAAATTTCCCTATTTTGGTACATTGTACACTTTACAGACGATTTCCTGCTTCTGTAAAACAGTTACATCAGTAGTTAGTCCTTCTGCCTTAGTAATTTCTATTGTGAACACTTGCTAGAGTGTTTAGAATTGGCTACAAAATATAGGATTAAAAATTACTAGAAGTTTGTGACTATGTCCAGTTGATCTCGGTTTCTAACTTTGCATTTGGTTCGATAACAATTTAATTTTCCTGTTTATGCGAATTCAAATTTTGGTTTAAGGAAAGTATGTGATTCTTGATTGTTTTTGCATTGTATTACTATTCAATATTTGTATGATGCATCTCATCGGATAGGTTTTGATCTGTCATATCACATATAATAGGATTTTATACCTCACAATATTTGCTTAGTCCTTAGTGGATCTGGTGGTGATTGGACCTATGTAAATGGGGGCAGCCGAGGAGCAGACACCTTCCAAGCCTTCAAAAGCAACAAGTTCAGCACAGGTTTTCTCTCCCTCTCTCTCTTCTTCCCAAGTCTTTCTGACGCTCATTCTTTTCTCCTGCCTCTTTCTGTTCATGTGTTTACTGTTTATATAGCCTAATGCCAGTCTCAATTCTTGTTTTTTCCCTATCCTTCTAGGAGACTCAGGCGGCAGTGCCATCATATCCTGATTGGTCAGGTCCCATGCAGGTTTGTGATTTGGAAAAAAAAAAAGCTAATTGATGCCTTTTTCTCTTATTTTTATTTTAAGGCTTTTGTTGTTGTTGTTCATCTTGGTCTCATGAATGGTTGAAAGTTGTTGACTCTTTCTCTAGGATTATAAGAGGCATAGGAAACGAGACATTCCAATATTTAGTATGATTGCAGTAGTGGTTTTGGTCATACATGCAATTTGTTTCCATCACTTGTTACTTGCCAGCGAAAGAGTCTCTTCTTGTGTTTGATTTAGCAGTTTTGTTATCTAAATAATGATCTGTAATTTAGTCTTTGATGTTCTCAAGTGACTTAGTACACCCGACTCTAAAGTTCAGATCCAGCATAATGGCATTTTTAAGTCTCAGGAAATGTTCAAATTGCCCCATGTTTTATTTGACTCTATAATGGAAATCATGTGACGATCTTCTTTAATATTTGAATTTCTTATTTTCCTTCTAGATATAGCATTTATACCCAACAAGTCAGTGACAGTTGTTTTTCCTTTAAATTTGAGGGTTTAGGGAAAGGTGTTTGGCTCATCCTAACTTGTAATAATTGCAGGCGTATTATGGCAACGGTGCTACTCCTCCTTTTTTTGCTTCTACTGTTGCAGCTCCAGCACCTCATCCCTATATGTGGGCAGGACAGGTAAGTCGGCCATTAGTCCCACAGTTTTGTGTCTAGTTCTTAAATTTGTACTTATATTTAATACAAATTATGGACGCTTGTCCCTCTACAGCACCCTATGATGCCACCTTATGGTACTCCAGTCCCTTACCCAGCTTTATATCCTCCTGGTGGCGTTTATGCTCATCCTAATATGGCAATGGTAATTATGACGTATAAACAATACCGATAATGAGAAATTAAAGTGATGATATCTGATATGGTAATTAAAGGTAGATGGTTGATAAATGATGATTGACACTTATTGCTCCATATCTTTTCTTGTAGACTCCAAATCCTGCTGTTGCTTTGGAAACAGAAGGAAAAAACTTGGATGTAAAAGATCAGAATTCAGCAAAAAAATCCAAAGGAAATTCCGGCATGGGGAATGAAAAGGCTGTTGAAACTGGCAAAGCAACTTCAGGCTCCGGAAATGAGGGTGCCTCGCAGAGGTGGGTGTTTTTTTTTTTGTTTTTTGGTTTATAATATTTTTGTGAATTTCTAACAATATTTTGATGCTTAGGCTCTGTTCTCTTCAACTGTAAAATAAGAAGTATTCAGAAAATTCAGCTTAATTGTTTCTGATCAGCAAAAATGATTTTTATCCATCAGCAGTTAGTTTTGATTTGTAATACTCGATAATTATCATTGATCTGTAATAATAATTGAAGCTCAGTATAAAGCATGTGAAAAGAATGGGGCCTAAGGCTAATCAATCAAGCTACTCCAATCCTCTTTATTTTCATTAATGTTCTAAACTTCTAGTTATTATTGTATAACAGCGCTGAAAGTGGAAGTGAAGGCTCATCAGATGGTAGTGATGACAACAATCAGCAGGCATGTCTTTACTGGCTGTTCTTTTTAGTTCATACAGGGAGAGTATAGAATCCAAAGGAAAAAATTTATCTAGTATCAATTATTGGATTAGTTTGAGCTGTAACATATTCTAGACTTTGTTGTGCTGTTGATCTAGTGTTTAGGCTAAACTTAGCTAGTTCTTCTGTTCAGGAAAACTCTGCAACTAAGAAAGGAAGTTTTGATCTGATGCTTGAAGATGGTATATGCTATAAATTATGTTTGATTAACATCCTTAGCTTTTTCCTTTTAGTTTTCGCTTACATTGAAGTCACATTAATGTGACATCTCATTTGAGTTTGGGTAACTTCTGTAGGGGCTAATGCACAGAATAGCTCAGGGAATGCAGCTCAGGGTTCAGTGCCAGGAAAACCGGTGGTTGCTGCTACTAATCTTAACATTGGCATGGATTTGTGGAATACTTCTGCTGCTGGTGGAGTTAAATTGAGACCAAATACTGGAGTAGCATCTGCAGTAGCTCCGGCAATGGTTGGACGCGAAGGGCTTATGCCTGACCACCAATGGATCCAAGTATGATTTTATTTCAAATCCGCTGGAATTTCTAGTTCCCCTTCTGCTTCGTGATTGTGTTTGATATTCTTTATTAAAAGAAGCAAATTAAAGTATTGTGATTTGTAAATGCTTCATTTTGAAAAGAAGTCATAGGGATAAAAATGGACTTGTTTTGCAGCAAATAGCTAATCTGTTGTGTTATATATTTAATTGATTAATTACACCTCAAGTTATGGTACATTTTGCAGAACAGCTTGAGCTTGAACATAAATATGAATGTAGAACTACTTTTTTGAGTTCAGGGAAACGCTATACTTTCATGATTTCTCTGAATACACAACAGTTAACTTGCTGATAAAAGATTACAATTCGTTTTATTGACGAACTTTTTTGGCAGGATGAGCGTGAACTTAAAAGGCAGAAACGTAAACAATCTAATAGAGAGTCAGCCAGGCGATCAAGGTTGCGCAAGCAGGTATAGGCTTTGTGTATTTTCTACCTTTTATATGACTTCTGCTGGCTTCTGAAACTCTGAAATTCTTTGGTCTTTCTAGGCTGAGTGTGAAGAATTGCAAAGAAGGGTTGAGTCTCTGAATAATGAAAATAGCAGCCTCAGAGAAGAGCTCAAGAGGTTATCTGCTGAATGCGAGAAGTTGACCTCTGAAAACAATTCTATCAAGGTTTGTCAAAACGCATCAGCTTCCCTGAACAACTTTATCTGCAAAACACATTGGTTTTGCATTTTGAATTGCTCAAAAACCATTGTCCACATTTCCTTTTATAGTAGTACCTCTGTCCTGAATCATACTTCGCAGTTCACAATATTAATTTAGTCCATCCCAAAATGAAGGCCACTTTATGAAGTTAGTATAGTTAGATTTTATAATTCCCATATATTTCGTAGTACATAGCCCTCACGACAGTTCGTAAGTATTGGTATGGTAGAGATTTCTTATAAAATGACCCTAAATCAAACACACTATCATTATCAGGGTTAGAGGGCATAAGTATTATGCTTGTTTATCTCAGTGTTTCTTGATTCCAAGACTTGTATACAAAAGTTAAATGCTTTGGTATTGAACAGGAGGAGCTAACCCAGACACGTGGACCAGATAGCTTACAAAGCCTCGGAGAAAACAATGCTTCTGGTGAGGCCGATAGCTGAAATGAGAGCTTAGATTAGTACTTCTTCGGCTCAGCTCAAAATATCTGACAAAACAAATAGGGGAAATTTCAGTTTTTAACACAGCTTATACCAATTTTTTTTTTCTCTTTTTTTTAGCCATTGATAACGCTTGTAATGTGATTTGTGATTTCTTGGTTTATGCTAAGGGGGATTTCAGTTAACGCATAAGTGCACAACCTCATTTGTCTGAGTAGAACTACTGTATAAAGATAAGTATCAGCTAGATTTTTATGTAATAGAGAGGTCAAAGTGTGTATTTTATCATATTACTCTGAATTCCAAGATGATTTCACAAATCTATTATACAACTATTGACATAAAAAGTTTAATCTTCTTATATCGAACGTTGATTATTATGTTGGCATGTTAGGTGCAGAATAACAGGTTTAGGGCACCCTAATGTGCGTAATTTTTTAACATGAAATGTCGATATATGAATCTCCCCTAGCAGATGGTTATTTTCTGCTATCATTTCCACAGCTCATTATCAACAGCGCATTATAAGTCACAATAAAAATTAAGGAGAAAAAGTTCATTGCTTGCTACTTGTGAAGATGGCAACAAATCATGGACACTCATGTTTATTTTATGTTCCGATTTCATCTTCAGTCCTCCAATTCAAACTTCACTAGTAAGACTTCATTCACACCATAGGCATTCATGCTTATTATTGTATGTACCGATCTTCCAATTCATACGATGTCGTTTAAGCTGGAATTTATATGTTCATGGTTCGTCGACCAACTCGATTCGACTCCTCGAAGATGCAACTTCTTCGAGTACAGCATCACAAATTCTTAATGAAAATGTGCCGAGTATGAATGTATGATTATGAAATGGTCAAAAGCAAACAGCCACCAATCAACCATAAACGTGTTTAGCAAATTGCATGTATTGCAATAATCAAATACGAGCAATTGCGAAAAGATCCCTTGCTTTTTTGCGGTTCCTAAGTCCTAACCAAAATTCACGTTTCCTCTTTAAAATTGGATGCCCTTTTTTACTTAGAAAAAACCTATTACGTATTTTTTATACATTGTCACAAAGTAAAGAGTCATCAGTGAACATAGCTCTCCAACTTATTTAAATCACAACTTGTACTCATTTAAAGTGAATATCAAACGATTGGCGGTCTATCTTCTAGCAAAGATGTTTCAAATTCAATCAATATCAAAAATATGTTATCTACGTATGAGTTAATTTTATAAAGGTGTCCAATATTTTTTTTTTTTATAAAAAATAACAATCGCATGTATTTGAATTTTGATTGTCATCTGAATCATTTCCTAAAAGTAAGGTTCATTTGTTTGACTACGACTTTGTAGTACATATTTGATGTAATTATGTAAAACCAAATCGTTTACCCTCTTAGAAATCATATAACACCATTAGCACAAAAAAATTTGTACAATAATGATGATGCCTCCTTACTACACACTCTCACAACTACTCCATGCATGCATGTATGTTTGTCGAACAAAATTGCATTAAAACTACATGGTTCATCATAAGCCAAATAGAATCGTCATTAGCAAAAGAGTCATATCACCTAGACATGCGATTAATTGACGAATAATCCGATTATTATCAAGTTTTTGATTAGTGAAGTTGGTTAATCGCTGCAATTAGTAATGATTTTGTGATACAATTTTCAAAACTCAAAACACATAATGAGTAAAATTGATAAAAGAGTCATGATACACTAAATTCATGAGTAACATAAAAGTTTCCAGAAATTGAACAACGGAATTGAACCAACCCCAATACATAGTGTTACTACTACATGTATTATAGAACTATAGTGGTTTAGTTGACCTAATATGTAGTAAGTGATAGGCCTAATAACCATTCTAAGCCTCTCTCCAACTTAACAGAAGGAACAACTAGCATCTATCTCCGAGTTCAAATGTTTTAGTACTCCGATCCAATTAAAACACACCATTTTTATAAGGTAGGAACAACTTAGTACCATCATGTAATTCCCTTACCTTCGCCCTCTCACTAAATTATTTACCCAACAAAAACTTAAGAACTAAATTACATTTCATTAAAGCTAATTAAACTTGATATAATGTCCGACGTGACATGTAATTAAGGTATGATTTTCTCTCTCCCCTTTTCATGATCTGTAGAGTTTTACCTACAATAATTCACATGGACAATATCATTTGCACTCTATTTTACTATAAAGTTTTGACACTTTCCACCCCCCTAAATTTAGACATTTAGCAATTGGCAAAAGTACAGATTAATGCACTCTAATTATATAATTATAGGGTGCAAAATTACTAATTAATGTTAAATACCCTCCATAAAATTAGTGGAGTACGGCTTACGTGGCGGTACCGGCTTAACACCGCCAAGCTGATGTGGCGATGAGGGGCCGATCATGCCAAAACAACATCATCTCCCCATGACGTTTCGCCACGTGGAACCCGGCAACCTGAGCCCTCCTTAACAAACACTCTGCTTGAAAATCAGCAAATTGACTGAACCCAACAGCCCTCATCCCCGCTGCCACAAACGCCTCCCTCCACGACGTCCGCCTCCCAGCCGCCACCCTCGCCGCCGCTTCCACCACCGCAAAAATCCTCGGCCGCAGCACGAACGTCTCAATCCTCCTGAGGCAATCCCCGCCGACAGAAAACCCGCCGCCTGCGAATCCACTGGCGGCGGCCACCTCGATCGACTCTATCATCCCGGTGTAGAATTCAATCCCAGCAAGGAAAGTCGGTCCAAACGACGCCGTACCGGCGTCAATTCCGACCTCCTTGTCAACCACCACGACACAGCTCGGCGATATTCCTCGGAGATCGCCGAGAAACTTCGATATCCCGCTTCGGGAATTATTCGAAAACCGGTTAAACACCGCAGGAGAAAGATGAACAGCTAGCTTTTCACCCTCCATAATCTTCATAGACTTAAATGATAATATCTCAAAAGTTGGTATTAACACAAAATCTATATGAAAATTAAGGTTAAGATCACGTGCAAATTGCATGAGATTTTCCTTAACTAGCTTACTCTCAATACCAAACTCTTCTGGAACAATCGCCGTGATCCTTAATATTATGGAAGTGCTCATCTTGGTGGTTTGATCGGTTGCTTTGTCTACGAGTTCTCGCATGAAGGACGCCCAATGACCTCCAAAACCGATGTCGAAATCGATGATATGGATAAAGGGAGATGTTCCATCGACAACGGCTTCGAGGATGGCTTGGTTGGCGGCGAAGGTGGAGAAGAGAGACACGGGGGAGATCCCCGAGAATGCTTTGCGAGCCCGTATGGTTTGGACCACCTCATACGAGGAAAGCCGAGGTGGTCGAGGTGATGATGAATTATTGTTGGTTGTGGTGGTGAGGTGTTGGAGAGCTTCCTTGAAGTAGAAGGCAGCTCTCTGAAGGGGTTTACCAACGGGTGATCTGAGACGTTGATTGAGCCGTGCCAATATCAAGTGTACTTGTTGTGAGGCGTTGGATTCGAAGGCTTGAGCTGCACGTATGAGGTCGTCAAGGAAATCGAGTCCGAAAGACGTGTTATTAGCTGCCGTGGTCTGATGATGATGATGAAGTTGTTGTTGTTGCTGTTGCTGTTGGTGATGATCGAAGGGGCTGAAATTCGGGTTGAGGTTTTGGTTGTAGGAGAAATCGCAGAAGTTGGCGTAATCTGAGGGTAGGTCTAAAGGGGGATGATTTTGGGTGAAATGATTTTGAGAGGATGGAAAATCAGGGAGGACTTGTGTAAGGTGAGATGAATCACATGGACTAATTTGGGATAATAAAAGTTTTGGATTATTGGAGTTTGAATCATCAGTAAGCCCCAGTTCAGACAGGATTGAATCCCAACCCTCTAAATTGTCCAGATCAACGTTGTTGTTATTCTTCGTCGTATCTGAAGATGGAGGTTGAGGTGGTGGAGTACTGGTGACAGTCTTGGTAGCACCCGCGGGGCTACTAGGACTACGTTGGAGGTCAAGGACCGATGTAGGCTCGTAACACAAGTTGTTGTTGTTGTTGTTGTTGCTGTTGCTGTTGTTGTTGCTACTGATGTTGCTACTAGGAGAATGGAAAGTGGTGTTGAAGTTGTTGTTGTTGTCGGCGGAGATTGGTTTTCCAGTGACGGTGTTGCAAGTTTGAGGGGTGGAAACGGGCACTTTCATTCCTAAATGAGCAAAAACAAACACCCACCTCCTTAAACTAGCTAACCTCTTCTTTTTTGGTCTCTTTCTCTTGTAAGTAAGTAAGTTGCTTGGAGTAGAGGTTTGTAAAGAAGTGTAAGTAAGTCTTAAGCTTTTTTAGGGGTAACTTGTGAAAAAAGGAGCTTATATGTATGAAAGTGGGACGGTGGGGTAGGGCTTTTTACAAGGGGGTGTTATAATTGAGGACTTTATCATCATCATCTATCTTTGCGTGCATGGTGTGTGCTGTGTTTTTTGGTGATGTGGGGATGCATGTAAATGGTATGGTGGTGGGGGTGGGAAAAAGATGTGAGTCACGTTGACATACATTCCATAGTACTCCCTCCGTCTTTAATTATTCACCCTGAACAGAGCTAATTTTTCCTTTAATTTGTTACTTTTTAGTCTAATAGACTTGATATAATAAGAGATAAAAGTAGCGAGTCAAATATAATGTACTTCCTTCGTTCATTTTTACTTGACCCGCTTTGACTTTTACACTATTTATCACTTCTCCTTTGACCGTCTTTTGTGAATTATATATATGTAAAAACATATTTGTGTGGGATCTTGTTAGATTCGTCTCAATAAATATTATCATAATATATATATTCTATAATTTTATTTATGGGGAATTAAAGTTATTGATTGTTAAAGTTATGCATTGACAAACGTGATAAATAGAACAGGTCAAGTAAAAAAGAACGGAGGAAGTACATGAGATTAATGTTATGATCATCATAATCAAAAATAAAATCGGACAATAATTCAACTGTATCAAATAAAATACGGGACAAACAATAAGAAACGAAGGAAGTATTAATAGAAATGAGGACCAAAGTTATAACATACACATACTCGACATTTGTCAGAGCTCTAAAAATATAAATATAAATATAAAAAAGAAAAAAGAGTAGGTCTTTTTATCTCTTAAAAATTTTAGAGGCTTCAAAGCCAAGCTTTTAGCTATTGCGCTTTCTATTAAGCTTTGCTTTCCATGATTCTTCCTCCACTAAGTAGCAGCTATTTGCTTCTTCACTCTCTTTTCTCTCTCTCATCATGTTTCAAGGACTACTGGACTAGTATTACACTTATTGGCTCGTCTTTCTTTCTATTATTATTTTCTTGTTTATGGAAGATCTTTTACATCTTTATGCATGTTGCCAATAATCAACTGTTACGGTTACGTTATTGGTTAATTATTGCTGATATATGGCTTTGAGCCTTTGAGTTCATCATTAGCTTGTCAATACACATGACACAATTAACTATGCATGTCATGATAACTCCCCTCTGTTTTTTTAATGTACTTATTTGAAATAATGTCTTGGTTTCAAAGCCAAAACTTTAACCGTAAAATGGATTTCACTAATGTAAGAAAAAACATATTCGTATGAAGTCTTGTAAAATCTTCACGTCTAAGCTCAATGTTTACTTTTACAATATTACAATTTTGACTTTTCGTATTCACTTTCACTCATGATTAAAAAACTCATATAAATTTTTTTCAAAAGACAAAAAATCTTATTATTATTCTTGTTACTCATATTATTTTATTACAGAACAACATAAACCTAATTTTTTTTTTCTTTTAAGAATTGTGGGAGAATTGTATCATTAACTAACGTGGTACACTTATTGTACCATATATGTTTTTGTATGCTCCCTTATGACGGATGCATGCCGTTAACTTGAGTTTTTATTGTACTACCAAACATTACTTTACGTTATAACCATTGAAATTATTATCGCCTAATTAAGCACATCAAATCATATGGAAAAAAATAATTGATGGTTGGAGGAGGGCTCTTCTCATAGCCTCAAAGGTGACAATCATCCACTCGTCTATAGGACTTGCCCCATATCATGCTCTTTCTAGCCCTTAGGGCAGGAGGGACAACCCATCTTGGGTAGGGATTTTTTCCTTCTTAGAGATTGTTTTTTTTTTTTTTGCTAACGAGGGCCCTCTTTTGTTTTTTTTGATCTAATTTCTGATGAATTGAAAATATTCTTGCCTGTTTCATTGGCTCTCCTTGCAATGTGGACAATTGACTATCATCCTGAGGTGATACAAATAATATCACATACTACCTCTTTAATTTAACGTTGCTATTTGCACATAAATTAACGTAATTGGTGAGAGATTGTTATGTTGATCGATGTGCTGAGTTATTAGCATAAGAAAAATGAGAAAAAAGTAAGAGTGTATAAAAAAAATCAGTGGTGTAAGAAAAAGTTTAAAAAAAAATATATATATATATATATAGTGAATGAAAAAGTGTTAAATAAATATCAAATGAAGATCGAGTATACGTGGTCTTACTTTACAAGTACAAATCATTATGCATGTTTTCAACCAAATGCAATTCAACAATCTTCTAGAAACAACTAATCCAAGAAATTTACAAGCAATTATATGGTCACTGATTCACATAGTCACAAACAACCTTTTGATAAGTTAGACTAATAATCCAGATTCATTGCATTTTTCCAGCATTAGAACATTTGTTTTTGAATAGTAAACTAATTATGGATCCTATAATTTCAGCAAAGTTTGACCCCAAAAATCAAGTTTTAGTAATAAAAAAAAAAGCCATGACTTTTGTAAAAGATAGGTTACCCATGCTTAAACATGCTTAAAACACCCAAACTTTAAACCCTTGTGATCTGGAACTGCTCTGTCGTCCACGAGCATGGTTACTTGAGGAAAAAAAAAAATACTTGTACAACATGTATATCACATATTCACATGTTATGGTTTTTGTTTGACATGACTATTATTTGTTTCTTTAGTAAGAAAATCTGAATATATATATAATTAAAAAACTCACATGGTAATAACGAAGCATTCATGTAAATTTTTTACTCAATTTTGTTTTATTCTAACCTAATTTTAATGTATGCAAATTAATGCTCTTTCTTGAAGTAATATATACTAGGCACTAGACGTTTATTTATGCTTTGTAATTCACATGCATCCTCATTTTAGCTTCATTAGAATCTATTTAATTAGTTATACCATTTCGATCTTATGGACACAATAATTTACTCCGTAGAATAAATAGTAAAGACATTTGAAGGGCATTGTAAGTAAAGAAATTACATAAATTAAGGCAAGTATAAAATGAACCCCATGTAAAAATTATGGGTATATAGGTCATCAAAATACATGATTGATAAGATTATTATGATCAATATTATCATTTACGAGAAAATGTGCAGCTAAATAGATATGGAGGAAGTGTAAACCAATCTTTTCATTTGTGTTGGATCGTGTTTGTTATTTACATCCAATTAGCTCTCTTGTGATGATATATACTTTTACGACTTTTACTTCTATATAAAATCACGTGTCCATATATGTTACATTCGTTTAATATTCGTTCTCAAATGTTCGACACTTACATACTTTACATTTCAAAGTGGTTCAAAAATTCCTATGTAATCGATTTACTTCTTTTATTTTATTTTTGTTCCATTTTAGAAAATTTCTTATACCACCTTAGCCCGTTTAACCCCACATATACAATTCACAATATTTACACATTTCATTCCAACCGATTACTCTTATTTTATTTATCCACCTTTTTCTTACTCCCTCAAATGACTCAAATTTAATTTCATCATTCTTATTTTACTCATTTTCTTTTACACCCACTCACTTCTTGTTAACTTTTCTGAAAACAAGAGTTCACAGTCTTCACACTATATAGAGTGACATGATAGAAAAGATGAAGAGAGTATTTGAAAATGTAAAAGAGTGTAAATTTACACCTGTAAAATTAACACCATGCATACCAAACTAAAAGAAATTCTAACAAATTAATTATCCTAGTCTCTTACGAGTTCATAGACACTAGTGGATTTAAAGATGGGGAATATTTGTGGCTTTGGCAGACATAGGTCATTTCACATCACACGCAAAATCTAGGTCTTTTCAATCGTGCAACGACAAAATAAGTCAAATATAACATGGTTGGCAAACATTTATACTAGTATTTTCTTTTCTTTAGTACTCTATATTTTCTTGATAATTACTCCCGCTGTCTTTATTTGTTTGTCATGTCAATAGATAAAATTTGAAATATTAAGAATTGATCTAAAATTTTACAAGGTATTTTAGTCTTTTTAAAAATATCAAGCAATTATTTTTGTTGATATAAAATTAATTTTGTTAAAATAATATTATATTTATTGAAATATTTTTGTAAGGTAAAGAGAATAGGATCTAGCTACCCTAACTTCAATTACAATATTTGTAATACACCCAAATTATTAACAATTTGTGTCGTCTTTTTTACTTTTGTGATCGAGTGTATGTAATTCAGTGGGATAAATGATGAAAAGATGTAATTATATGAGAAGATAAAACAATATTTAAAGAAAAAGTCTAAAAATATAAGGCAAATAAATAAAGACGACTAGGAGTACACTAAGAAAATAAACATTATCTTGATAGTATCATATGATTCATATCATAACATTTTGTGACATCAGTACTAACAACAGAACATTGATAAGTTGATTAAAAAACCTTTCTGGTAGAATATTATTACATAGTACATACATCATTTTTTAAGTGGAATTAAATAATTTTCCACTTAAAAATAATAATTTTAGATTACATAATTTCGTTTTTTTGCCTTTTAATATTTGAAATAAGGAATTTTGGTTTGAATATATACACTACGCTGTATTAACTGAATTTTTATTATATTGTAAGATAAAATGTACGAGAATATATTTATTGTATTCAAAAACACAAATTCTTATATATATGTAGTTGGCCATACCATCATAGGGGTTATTTCGTTAGTGTTATAGGAGTTACTCGTTCAGCGTTACATGGATTACTTCGTCAATGTTATAGAGGTTATTCGGTCAGTGTTGTAGGGGTTATTTGGTCGGTGTTATAGGGGTTACTTGGTCATGTTATAGGGGTTACTTTATTTTTTAACAAATGGCCACATGGTGTAGCCAACCACGCACATACAAGACGAGTTGATTCAAAAATAGCTTTGATTACATCATATTTCATGTATAATAATTGACTACGCTGACATTGATAAACTGTCATAGTTTAATGAATAGCTAAGTTTCCACCATGTATTTCTTCACTTGAACTTCACAAATTTCTAGATTTGAACTATCACTATCAACTTAATAC